ATACAATGAATTTATTGCAATAAAAGCAGTGCAAAACAACATGAATAACAAACAACGAACACGCAACAAAACAACAAAAAACAATTGTTACAATACAATGGCTTAGGCTTCACATTAATGCTATCATACAACTGCAAGTCAACCAAACCTATATACATACACATAAAAACAATTAACCAGTGAAAAAAAAATGAACTTTTTCCAAGTTCACAATCTATTTTGCACTTATTGATAACTGGAAATCAACTGGAAAACACAATTCCGTCCGTGTTCAATACTTTTGTTTACCAAAAAATCTACCAATCACTCGAACAAAAATGCCAAAAGCCATATGAAAGACCGACCCACAAGATCGATGGCTGACTTAATCGTCAAGCCCTACTAAATTTAAATTCAAATGAACATTCTCACTCAATGCACCACCAAAATTTTAACAATCCAATTTTATACAAACGAGATCAGTGTAATAATTGCAAATCAACGACAAAATATCCATTCCTTTCGTCTTCTTTCATATTATACAAATAACTGAACTGATGCGCTAGTAAATTTTACACGTGACATGCCGGACACAACTGCAACGATTCATGCAGCAGCATATCACATTCCAAACAAAACTTCGTCTCACACTGTTTACATGCAAAACTCTTCGACTCCAACGCTTTCGAACATCCGAAGCATACCCTTGAATTTAGTTGCATTACGACACTTCCTATTACTTGTTAAGACAACAAAATAGATCGCAAATCCTTTATATAATTATTCAATATGAAAGCCGTTATATTCATCTGTATTTGACTACTGAAAAAAAACTATTCCACAACCAACACCAATAAAGAATTCAACAACAACAACCACAACAACCGCCAGCAATATCGGATCGATTTTCCGATTCATTTGAGCACTAAATTTTAATTTCTCTCAACTGGCAACACGAAAGTCATCTTCCTTTAAACGTAACCTAATCCTACTTGTATGAAATAACCAAATATTCTGTTATACTCACGGAGTCTTTCCAAAACTCCAAAACTCATAATCTTATTCAGACCAAAACATCAATAGTGACATACCCCGATGCCGTATCGACCTCTTTGAATGCCGGAAGTGGCAAAAGATGATGGAACGAACGTGCTAGTTGCGGCGCCGAGATCAACATCAGCTTACAGACACGGCATTCGACCGGTAAACCGCAATATCGTGCACCGCACTGGGGACACAAAAAACCACGGCCATCCGCTCGTCTCGTCTCCGTCAAATGACTGCAAAATGCCACAAAATATTTCACTGGCAATACAAAATATTTCAATTTTAAGTGTATTTCTGAACGAAGCACGAGTTCAATTTTTGCTTTTTGCTCTCTATAGATTTCATCAAAATCAATCAAAATCAACTGAAATGCACGTCAGAACATTGCACAAACCCTACTCAATAGTGTATGAATAATCTCATTTGAATATACTCTGAATTTCAAATGCCATAAAATTGTTCATTTTTCGGCGAACAAAAAAATTTTTTGTGACAGCTTCATCAAAACAAGCCAACCAAAC